AGATATATATGTATATAGGTTTCCGTTCACAAGTTGAAAAGCATGTCAATGAGAATTTTGAACGCCGATAAATACATATAGATCCGAATACCAACATCAGAATGCGAAGAAATGTATCGACAATTTTATTTAAAGAAGTAGCGAATGTGCATAATCTACTGTTTTCCGTACAATTTCTATGTGCACTTGTATTAACTGCGTATATGTTGACGAATATTGATAAATGGCTGATTACAGTATTGAACTGGATTCTTCCTTAAGTTTTTGTGAAACGCCATCATTGATTTTATCGGACACGAGTATGCGCATATTATAGAGTGTGTGATAGTTTCATAATCGATATCTTCCCAACTTCCCATCATCGCGAGAGTGGAAGAAGAATGAACTGATGTTCATTGATATGTACATATGAACGCACACCCAGAGAGAAGATTGGAAATATAACAAGGCCTCCTTGTTTCTTTTTCAGGGGCTATGAAATAAGCAAATTGAAACCCCGTAAGGGAAAACCTTAGACGCCCTCAATACGTTTTGCGTTTTGTCCCTTTTTGTATTTTGTAGAAAAATCCATTACTTGTGAAATTTCGAATATACATATGTTCGTTTACGCTCAACGCTTTAAATCGTGGTGGCCCTGGGATGTCACTTCGGGTGCATTTTCCGAGCCCCGAGGTTGATTGGTTTTAGAGCTTTTTCCTAGAGAGTATTCGTTAATTGTGTGCAATAGGTCGAGTATTTTTCTAGTATCCATACCCCAGTAGTAGTATAAGAGGGGTTGAAGGTTAAATCAAATAGGCGTTTACGTTTAACTTTTAGTATGTGTCCCATTTTGTAAACGGAAGGAATTTAGACTTTAGAAATAGTAGACGCTACTTACGAATGTCGAGCTCATTTCATACATCTACATACATACAGATACAGTTTGTATTCTATATGTATCATAAACATAATAACAAAGTCATACATACACACATACATATTTTATATACATCATACACATAACACTTCTGTCCAGCCAGGTATAAAATACAGCCAGGATGTTCAAAGCTCTGTCTAAAATGCTTCGGTCCATAGACAAGGCCAACCACAACGGGAAGCTCTATGTGGGTAAGGATTCGTACGGAAACATGTTTTACGAACTCACACCTATGACACAAGGTGGTAGACGTAAACGTATATACGAACCCCCGAACGATGGGACAGACCCACAGCTGAGTATCACACAGGAGGTCAGTGCACAATGGCGTAGCTGGCTGAACGGAACAAGGTAGGAAATCGTTTATGATAGAGTTCGACTCGACGTATTCATGATAAAGTTCGGCTATATGCATTCATGATAAAGTTCGACTCTATTATGTATCCATGATGAAGTTCAACTCTATCTATAGAACACACGCTGGATGGTATATGTGCTTCTGCTTTTGCCGTTTGTAAAGTACATTTCGCAAGCAAGTTTGGGATTTGGGGTTTCTGTAGGAGTTTGTAGCTGCTGTTTCCTGCTGTGGACTTTACAGTAACAATTAGATAGATTGTTTATGCTAAGTACACTATCACTACTCCGCCGGCTAAACCCAAAATATGTTTGTATTGGGATGCTTTACGGTTATATCTACACTCTCGATGTCTGTCCATACATTCAGAATATGTGTCTTTGAAGTGTATATCTACGCAAGTGCAGTGCATGTATCTGTGTTTGTGTGTATACGCAGTACATAGATATATATAGGTCGGTATTGAACGTCATTCAGACCGATTCACTATTATACTCTTATGCAGCACTCCCTTGAAATATATAGGATGTGTAGATGCTTGCATTTGTCGATTCAGTATAGCAGTTGTCCATCCAGTACAAATAAGTATATATATATACATATATATATATATATATATATATGCGTGTACATGCACGTGGTACAATTGAAAGGTTATCAAATCATATCGCACACCTATATTCCTCTGTATATTCACTTAACCAATGGCATATATACATTTAAAAATATATGTGATATAAGTATGGAAATGATTTGGTCTACTCATTGATATAGTATATATATTTATATATATATATATATAATATATGCATACGTACCTATATTATAAATATATATAAATATATATATACTTTGTTATTATATATATATATATATATATCTATATATATATATATAAATATATACGCACACACAC